GTTTTTCGCACATACCTGTTGATCTTTTGCTGACAGGTAAATGTCCTTCCCACAGTGCACCACTGCCTGCAAGTGGCCAATAGTCCTGCCATGTCACTCACTTTGACACACAGGATGGGTCAACTCAGTGGAAACATATTATCTGTTGTGTATAGATATATAGTATCCCAAGCTGTTCAGAAAACATTTCTATATTGAAATGTTCATGATGTTTTTTTATTTCTTGCCCCAACGATCCCAGAGAGCCAGGTTTCTGTCAAGGGGAAATAACGTTCTGCAATATCAGACATGTTGTAAAGTGTTTTATTTAACAGAGAGGCTGCACCTTCCTGCATGATAATTAAACACCGATATGCTATTTGGTAAATTTAGAGTCACAAAATTTAATAGCCGCAATTTTAGGTGGTAGAGTTTTGGTCTATCATTGTAAAAACTGCATTTATTATATTTTTATCTTTTTAAAAATAAAACTGAACTCTACATTCATATTCAGTCTCCCTAAGTGACTTCTTTGTAATATGATCTGTCGTTGCAATCACATTCCCGATGGTTACGGTTTGGGTTTACCAGTTTCACTGATCTATTTTACCTAAATTGTTTTACAATGCAGCTCTGTTAAATAATAAAGAGGGCTCCATAAGTAGCCATTTATAAATCCTGCAACAGCTTGACATTTCTGCAATGGCATGAATACACTTTCATCTAAACCAATTGTATTGTAGCTCTGTTTTTTAAGGTTGGCTGCGAGCTGCTTCCCGTTGTCCTACCACTGTCATGATGCCGTCACCATTTAAATTTCACTTTAGAGAGAGGGTTTTCAGGCTATCATTCTGTGTGACTTTCAACTGATTTTCCCAGCTTTTTTCCCCAGATTCGGATCGTTACAGCTCCTCCAGAACTGCAAGGACTCCTGATTTTTTTCTCTAATGAATGCTTTTCTTTTCCAGGCTATGGCTGGAATTTACTCTGTATCTATTTATATGTCAATGTAAATAAATAAGTCAAATTTATTTAGACCAAACTAGCCAATTAAGTCCTTTAAGCCCCCTGTGTGTTCAAAACAGATATAGCTTGCTTTGTGGCCTTATTATTATGCTTATTATTAATTCACTTATAATAACACAACTTTTAGGAAAACCTCTGTTCTGCTGTTTCTATGCATCACTGTGAAAGGCTTTGCTCCCTGCCTTGAAAAAACGAACAGTTTAACCCACATTTCTGCCATACTACATACCATGATGAATGAAACAAAGCTTTGTACAATGCTCAAATCTTAAGCTACTGCAACCTCGAGACAGGTTACTGTTTTATAACCTGTTTTATAACCTGTCTCAAAAGTTTTCACCCTTTATACAAACTAGATGTGTTTCCACCTTTGGACCAAGTTAACCAGACCATGCAAAATGTAATTTCATCATGTTACATTTGGCTGCAGGAAAAGGAGGTAATGAACTAACATGGACCACAGATCAGTGATGGAAAGAGCTTTTAATGAATTTCTAGCAATCAGACAAAAATTTGATTGTTTTTATCATGTCAGCGAGTATTTGTGAAGTTAATTGGCACATAGAGAGGTCAAGAGAGAACCTCGATTCTAATGGGGCGGCAGCAGCAGAAACAGCTGGTTAGTCATGTAAGGTAAAGATTTTAATTTGCAGAACATTTTCCACAAATGTGTTTCCATCTCCTCTTCTGTGGATTAACCTCTTTAAAAAGGATTCAAAACCACCTCAAGCGAGTGTAAAAACTATTTTGCTAAATGTTGTAAGGTGATTCTAATTTTTCTGTGTCCCTCAAACTGTTCCAATGATTTCTTCAAAATCTGCGTAAAAACATTGATGGAAACACATCTACATCTAATAAACTTTCACCTACTTACAAAGCGCTTTTAGGAACAATACCCAAGATTCACCTCTTACTGCCCTCACCTGATTCACACGAGGCATGTGACCGAAAGCACTCTGACAGGGAGCTAACGACCCATAAGAACCCCCTAACAACCATTAACTTCCCCATTGTGACCTCCTTGGCCCATCCAGTGGGAGGGATAAAAGCCACCATTTGTCCCCCCAATTCTTTTTTTAGACCTACAGTATATTAACCTCAAGTCTCCCCACCATTAGTATGAACTGAAGAAGCTTCTCAGATGAGAGGCGAAATGTCTTCTAGAAAACTTCATGTCCAGTTGTGTAGACTGAACTTTGTTAAGCTTAACCGTGACCTGGATGACTGAGAATCTTCACAAATAACACATCACTGAATGGATCAGCACCTCAATACATAACAGATTTGTTGTCTGTGTATCAACCTCCCAGACAACTCAGGTCTTCTAGTTCAATCCTAGTCTGTACATCCAGAACTAGAACCAAACAGAAGACTGTAAAATTGCTAAAAATCTGGGTTCTTTTAAATTAAAGCTAAAAACCCATTTTTTAGAGCTGCCTTGGACTGTTAAAATTTTAGCTGGACTTTGATGTTCCAACAGTTTTGTTTGTTTTACTATCTTCTTTTATTGTGTTTTTATATTAAATTGCTTTTCCCCACTTTTATTTTCCATTTGATTGTTTGATTAATGTAAATCACTTTGAATTGTCTCTGCATTCGGTTGTGTAATAACAAATGTAATTTTTCTCGCCTTGCTTTGACTCTATAAATTTTGTGACTTCTGAAGGCAATTTGGTGCACTCAATTAATCAAGAAACAGAAAAGTAATTCAAAAAAATAAAAACCCTTTTCTTTAAGATATAATGCTGTTAACAAACGTTTTTACACTTGAATTGTCAAAAAGAAGATAATTTTAATCAAAGTCATTTAATCAAAGTTTACAGAAACGATTTATGTTGGAAAGAACATGAGAAACGTCCCAAATTGCCAGATTACATCTCTACCAAATATGCATACTGTGATTATTTTAATGAAATAATGACTAATTTTAAACAGCTTTGTTGTTGTTTGTTTTGTTTTTGTTATAACATTGATTGCATTTGCTAAATAATTTGCACCAAAAAGGAGTCGATTAAAAAAAAAAAACACATTGATCACAAATATCCTAATGGTTTGCAGGTATTGCTTTGTTGGAACCAGCTTCAATAAAACTAATCCCAAATGAAAGTCTGTTAAATATCACAAAAGAACACAGCAGACAAAATGGAATGTATAACCTCATTTCAATCCCATCTCATATAGGAAAAAAAGATAATTTGAAAGACAAGCTCAGACAAGCTGACCTCTCAGCTTATAATAAGGTTCCAACATGTCAGGAGCTGTATAGAACATAATCACAGGTTTATCAAATTCTTCTTCCAAAAATGCAGATTTAAAGCAGAGACATCATGAAATTCTGTCATGCTGAACCTTTAAAACATTGAATACCAATAAATTTCAATAAGATTTCAATATGCAAACTTATGATTTGCATAGAAAATTGCTGTTAAGAATTTAAGGTCAAAACATAATAACCCACCGGTATTACAAATTAAAAGCAACAATAGATTTCCCAAATTTGGTTTTACTCACAAACAAAGCAAGGTCTATCTTAACTCTTATAAAATTCATCAGATTATTTGAATTCCTCCTTTTGTTCAATCAAAATCGAAATAAGAACATCTAAGCCAAAGGCCTTCCACTTTTTCAAACTCTGTCCTTCCCTCAGGATATACTGCATTCCTTTTTTTTTTAAAAAAAAGAAGACCTGCTCCACTACTCCAGACCATTTCAGATGTAATAAGTTGGAAAGAGCTCCATAAAGTGAAGTCTGATAAAAAGCCAATTGTCTGCTCTGAAACAGACAATTATATATTATGTGATTCTTTGCAGCGGCACAAAAGTGATCCATCATCTTGAGGTAATGGGTAAATTCTGCAGCTGGCTTTCAATTCTACAAAACAGAGCAAGTACTGAAAATCAAAATAAGCTGTAGAGAAAAAAAATCAAAGACAAATTCTGTGAGTTTCCTTTTAGAATACACCGTCTTGCCTTGATAAAGGATTTAAACCAACTGAGGCACTAAAAAACCTTAAGAAAGTCTTTCCCATTGGGATTTTGTGCATCAGGCCAACACTATAGTGCATCATTGTTCAGTGGGGAGAAATAGGATATGTTACAGTCTAAATCTTTTGCAAATTAAGAGAAAAACATAAGTGTAAGTATCCAGTCCCCCCTTTCAAACATCAGCAAAACACTAAGCTTTAGTATCTTAACCTAAATAGCTGGTTTGAAAGTTTGCAGCGGTGGCATAGAGAATATTAGAGAACAATTATCTCCAACTCCTGTCCTCAAGGGGAGATGCCCTGTAGGTTTTATTTCTGTCCTTGCTGCAACAAAGCTGATTCAAATAGATAAATTACTCACCTGGAATGTCAGCTAGCTCTATAGCAGCTGGTTACTAAAACATTAATTTGATTCAGGTGTTTTGAATCAGGGCAACATATAAAACATGCAGGACAGCAGCCCTTGAGGACCTACTTTGGACACTACTAATCTAAACTGACAGGCCTTCTGGGGAGAGCAATAACCTGAGCAAAAAAAGCCGGGGAAAAAAACCCCATGGGAGCTTCAAATGATAGTCTGAAAAGTGTGGTGTGTGTTTGTTCTTCAAAACTAAACTTGCTAGACTGCATATGAAAAGTTATGTCTGGTTAAAAACGATGTGATCCTATGCACACCACTAACATGAAGATTGCAGCATAATGCTCTGAGGATAGATTTCCTTCAAAGACTTCGAATCAGCTCATCTGTGCAAGTGTTTATAAACTGACGATACTGGATGGTATTAAGGCTGACCTATTTTGTAAAAATAAAAAGGAAAAAACAACTTTAGCCTATTGGATTTGTTTTATAATGTGACTGAAAGCACAAATGTTTAATGACTTTAACACTTTTTGTAAGGCACTGTGTTATCCCCGCCGTTTAGCCTCAGGTTTATAACCAAACCTAATGATTTTCATTTTTCTGAGAAAAGCATTCCAGCAACACAATCTGTTGACACTTCCCCAGCTTACCGTCGGGATGCTCATAAGGGAGCCAGTGGTGTTTGGTATTTTGGAATTCAAAGTTGGAGTTGCGAAGCTGGCATTGTTGGGCTCGGAAATCTTCAAAGTGCTTCGGGCACTCGTTTATGTTGCACAGCTGGTAATCGTAGTTGACTCCAGGACAGTCCTGGCCGCCGTTTGAGGGTCTGCAGAAGGGAGATGGAAGAACATCAGAGGCTCAGAAGGAAAACAAGTTCTTACTTGAAACCAAAGGAATACAAAATGCTGTGTACCACTTTGTTGTTTTTGCTGTTTTTCTATGTTCAGCTAGGACTTAAATGGCTACCAAGGAAGACATGCTAAAAACTAAATGTCATCATCTCTCTATTCTAAAGGTTAAAGTATCAGGATATATAAAAAAATAGGTGCTGATAATCAAATGTACTATGTTGAGATCCTATGAAGGATGAAAACATCTTTCTGGCAGTTTGCTGCCAAAAATATATTAAAAAGGAAAGGCTTAGATTTGAGCAGAAAAGAAATATTCTGTTATTGTCCCGCAACGGAGGAATTCAGGCGAACAAGCAGCAAAGTAAAAGGAAAACTAAGCATTCAAATACTGAGAAAGGAATAAATTATAAAACCAAACAGAAAGAATAGGAGACCGTACACTTTTAGAACATAAAACTCTTGTAATGCTGTTAAAAATGAGCAACTCAGGGGGATATAAAAATGTACAAACTGTCCTCATGCATGTGTATTCATGCATGAGGAAAAAAACTTTAGAAAAGTCACAGTTACTGTCAATCAATCTGGGAAGACTAACAAGGCCATTTCCAAACTACTGGAAGCCCATCATTTTTATTCACATGACAGTCAAGACAGCTGCAGAACTTATGAAGATTTGACATCTGGGTAAATCCATCCCAGCACACAGAGCAATGAAAAAATAAAACAGTTGCTCAACAGGTCAAAAAGTACGGTACATGTAGAACTTCATACCAGCATGGTTAGTAGAAGACTTAACAAGCATTGGTCTAAAGAGTTTAAGGAAAAACGTTTATTTTTTCTAAGAAAGCATGGCAGGATGACTCAGGTTTGCAAAGCTGTATCTGGACCACAAATTGTATCAAATCACCTTAATGTACTGTATAGGAGCCATATGAAGCGACATTTCTCCAAAAACTCATTAAAAGCAAATATAACAGATTACCTGTTTTCAAAAAACAAGAACCCCTTCAGTTTCTCTTATAATTATTTTGTAACGACTTAGTTTAAATGCAGAAAAGTCATATTAGCTGAAATATCTTTGCACTTTAGGATTAAAATGTATAAATGGAACATTTGTGATTTCTTAATAACAAAATGCCGACATTAGTCACGCAGGACTTAATTTTCACTGAAAGCATTATGTAAATTGGTGCATAAAAAGACAATTTACCACAACTGTCTCATCGGCTTTAGTTCCATTACCAAGACAGAATGAGTCCAAATGGGATGCAGCTTTAATTAAGAAGCCTGAAACTCGTGCAAAAGTTGTTTATTCCCCATTAATGTGTTCAGGTTTTGTCTTGCTCACTTCAACTCCTTATTTATTTCATTATCTAATCAACATTGATTAAGCTTAACATACCGGTAAGGAGCTCATATGTATTGGAGCATTAGAATAAATCACCTTACGAAATTAATCCTAAAGTATTTGTTACAGAAGCACATTTTTAATTAGGTTAAATAAAAGTGCTGTGATCGCATTTCCTTTTAAACCACCTCAAGTTACAGAACAAGATTTTTACAACGACATCAATAAATGAAATTCATAAAACAGAAAATGTAGAACTCCTTTTACATTTGAATAACACAGAAAATATATACAATCAGCTTATTTTCTTTAGTTCACCAACATGCTTTGTGAGTAATCTCCTAAAAAATGTCTAAAATACCATTTAATCCTGTCATTGCTGCTCCTGTTACTGTACTTACGCAGGGTTGTTACACTGACGTGTTCGAAAGCGAACCCCAGTTCCACAGGACCGTGAGCAGGAGCCATATTTACTCCAGGAACCCCAGGCACCATCCTGCTTCAGCTGATTTGGGTTTTTCCACATGCAGTGACCTTTATAGCACCACTAAACATGATGACAGAGAGGAGAGAGAGAAAACATACAACTAAATAAAATAAGAATACATATTTATTTCACTAGAGGTAAATTGAATAGTCCTTAACATCTTCACCACACCCCTAGGGAAGAGGGTGAAATGCGAGAAATATTAAACAGAACTAAATTGAAACAGGCATTTATTTTGGGTTTAAACACACATCAATTTTAAAACATAATTTCTTCTTAAACTTTCAGTAAAACAAGGGTTCATTATTTTTGTCATTTAGTGCTGCTCTTTCTCTCAGACACTGCATGGAACATTCAAAACCTTCAGAACATTTTCTTTGTTCGTAAGTCTTTAAGTTTGCGCAGCGACTTGTGGTTTAAAAGAGTTTGAGACTTTATTAGTTTGTTTACTTTCCAAAACCCTATTAATGCAATGCATCAATGGCTACTGACTAGCTCAAACTTAGCTCAGATTCACACTGTGAACAAAATGCTCTAGAGCCCACTTTGAACCCTAACTAAGCAGGGAAACAAACCAGAGATATTTTTTAAAGGACTCAATATCTCAGATGGAAAAACACCCAAAGGTGTGCTGTGTATCCTTCTTCGAGCCCAGTGCCTGCTGGATACTAGCAGTAACCCCCTGCTATTATGAACAGGTTAGGCAGCTGCAGAAAATGAATCTACAGTATTAAAAATCTGGTCAGAACTGTTCTCCTCTGTGATGAATTAGAGGGAGGCTGGGCTAGCCACAGAGGGCTTTTAAATCCCAGACAAAAGTACGGTAATAATTGAGCATTTCTTCTCACTAATATATTTGCCCTAAACAATTATTCACATCTTAAAAACCACAACTTTGTAAAAAGACATGGTGCAGGTCCATTGCAACTAATTGGGCATAAATATTCTAGAAATAGTTTCTCAGCTTTCTCTGGAAGATTGTCATCCTTAAAAACCTGCCTACCTTCTGTTATTTATAAATGAAAATGGGCTGCACGTCAGAGATGAAAAACAGAACCAAAAGCTACCAACTGCCTTTGTGGCCATAAACTTGGGCATTAAAATTCATTCTGACTAATTAGTCCAAACACACTACTGCACAGCACAAAAAACAAGATTAAAAAAATCATCCAGATCTGTGCTGTAGCTCCCTTCCACTCTAATGGCAAGGAGGGAAAAGAACTGTAAAGTGAATCCAAATGATTTTGCAGAACTGTCCATTAGGAATGCCTGTTGTTAATTATTACATAGTAAATGGACTTTACTTATATAGCAATTTTAAAGTCAGGAGACTTGACCAAAGCGCTTTAAACTGACTCCAGTCATTCACATACACGCTGATGATGGCAAACTACATTACCATACAAAGGCGCCACCGGGTCCAATGACCACCATCAGTAGGCAACTCCTGCATCCCACACCACTGTCACACCATTACTAGCAACACTGCTAAACCTAAGTGGTTCTGGTAGTCTTTTACAGACTTTAGAAATTTATATGCTTTAACCTGATTCAGGACATTCAAGTAATCTTACTTTTCCTGGAGCGCATTCGGTCCCATCGAGAGGTGGCCCTTTTTTGGTTTTGCAGAAGTAAGGGTTGTCAGGGTGACTGCACCAAAGCTGTTTACATGGATCAAATGTCCGGAACTGAAACAGAGCAAACAAAGAAATAAAATCATGATAATGGCTGAAAATGTTAGCTTTAAATCGGTTACAGTAATTTTTAGCAAATAAAAGAAACAAATCTTAACAACATTGCAGAAATGTAAAATGAAATAAAAGATCCCAGACTTCTGGCTTAAACAGAATGAATTCTTCATGGGTAATTTAATACAACTTTGTTAAAGCTTAAGTGTGTAATTTTCAGCGACATCTAACGTCCAGACTGCAGACCGCAGCAACATGAACATCTCCCCCCCAGCGAGACCCGCTCCTATGTAATTATAAATAATGAATTCTAAGGCAACGCAAATATTAAGGTTAAGAGGCTGAGCTCGTAGATGATGATAAATAACATAGTTATGTAAAATATATTACATTTCTGACTGTATATCCCTGTAATTATTACACACTGTAGCTTTAAAGGAATTGATATAAACTGTTAGAAGATTCCTCATGATTTTGTTGAAAGTGTCTTATTGCATTCAGTCAGAGCCCTACTAAAAAAATATTGCCAAGCTATGAAGCATACCTTTAACTCTATTGATGCACATTGTGCTACTGATTTCATTATGTATTTTGCATTACATTTTAAAATATGAAATTAGAATATTAGCATAATTTTTGATACAACATGCAAATAAATTAGTTTAAAGTTGATTAATGTATCCAAATACTGTATTATTGTTATAAATATTCCATTATGTTAGTGTTCTTCTTTCCGGTATATACAAAACACAAACAATATTGTGGATTATTTTCATAAAAACTTGTTTCAGTCGTTTAGGGGATAAAAAGAAGTTAATTGGTATTAAAATATTAATATAAAATTAACAACAGAGTTTAGAAGCAGATGATTTGGGAGGTAAGATGGTGGTGCATAAACCATCAAATGCTTTTAAAAACACATTTTCTTACCTAACACTGCAAGCAGAGATGTTATTCCTTCAGTTTCCATCAAGTACTTTCTACAAGTTATGTGAATTGTCACAACACATTTAAACCTTAATCTCCCATTTCTATCGAGATATTGCACACATTCCACTTAGGAGGACTTGGGTTTTTTATTTTTTGTTAAAGCCAGTTTATTTGAAATGCTTCAAAACTTATATTCTTTACCACCATACAAATCAAAAGAGGAGCACTGACTGAGAAGGTCATAAAAAAAGAGATCCATTGTTAAATATATGGATTATAAATTTAGGACAACTTTTAAGGACAACATTTAACAGACTGTAAACATTTTAAGAATAAACAAGAATAAACAAGTCTGGTTACAGGTTTTCAGCACCAAAATAAAGATTATCTGCTGCAAAGTGAACATCATCTTTCACTTTGAACGAGTTTGCGTCAAGTATTTTAATACCAACAACTCTTAAAGGTAATTCTTTATGTAGTTCTCTGTTTTTAACATCAAGGTTTAATGACTCCTTCTCCATGTTTACTGAGAAACATATTGATCTAAATGGAACAAACAAGGTAAATACTGTAAGGGCTAGAAAACAGGTTAAAAAAATAAAATCAATACTAAAGTGAACAGAGAGCTTCTTTAACAAAACCAAGATGTTTGAAATGTAGAGAACCAGTCAAAAATCATGATGTGAGTTTTCTCATCAAGCTTCAGATGAGAAAACAGAGAATGGCTTAAACCAAAAATAGATGGTTGGAAAAGTATAAGTAAATAAAGTACATGAATCCACTGGTCAGTGATTTGACTTTAGTTGGACAGTTAGTAAGAAGCAGTGTCAATTTAGAGCAAATTTTTTTCCAAAGAGGTTTTGTTTATTTCTGAAATGATTTAAAAAGGGTTCTAAAGTTTAAAATAATTAAATAAACCTAATTTCATTAAAACCTTTTTTGTATCTATCTACAGGAACCCATGGAGGAGTAACGGTAGATGAAGCGGCCTTTACAGCTAACATTTTAATCATAAGATTATCTACAGTTATTGAGGCAATATCTTCCTCAAGGGATCAGAGCAGATTAAAAGGTAGATTAAAGGGATTCAGAAGCGGCTCTTTAAAGGACACAATGCAACTCTACTGGACTAACTAAACCTAAGACGTCTTTAATGGTGAACTCTCTTAATTAGAGGTTCATGAGCAATGGGTCAGGGCCATAAAGTGGGTCACAAAACAAGATAAATCTCTTTTAATGATCTAAAATAATCAGATTGCATAATATTACGCTCGCACTTTTTTCTCAAGTATCTTTCATCAATTGACATAAACAGTAGAGTTGTACAGTAGTTAAACAGCTTGTTTTGTCAATACATTGTGTTTCTATTTCATTATTTGCTAAAAGCCCATCAAGCTGATCTGCTGTAGCATCAGACTGATCTAAAATTTTCAGAGAACGGACCCCGGTGAGACAGACCCGCACCGAGCTGAGGCCGAACCGCGCGTCCCCCACTTTCCTCCCTGCTTTCTTCCCCGGACTGCAAGATGAATCAAAAGAAAACCCATCCACTTTTCTATCCGATGCTTTAATGAGGTGCCGCGCTTGAGCGAAGACAGGCAGATAAGAGTGAAATCTCAAACTAATGCTGATGTTTCATCTGTTCTGGTTATAATGTTGAAATAAGGGTGATGTGAATAGCTGTAAGTGATATTTCTTTCTTCCTTTCTTTCTATCCAGCTTTCCTTCTCTTTCTGCTTTAAGGTTAGTTTATAGGAAATGATTCACATTTAACTGCGTGTCGCCACATGGTGGAGAACCATCTACTGTATTGTTACATGGTGCTTCCTCCCTTTCATCATATGAAAAGGGGGATTACACAAACACACACACATTGCCCTGCCCCTCCTGTTTGCTGAACGAGCTTCTGCTGTTGCTGTTTGAGATTGGTTATAACATGCTGGTGTCGTTAATGCATTTTTAACCATTTACCAGTTAAGCTGAATGTATTTACGGTGTTTTAATTGCACTATTGTTATTATTATGTCTGCTGCTATTCCAAACGGACATTATTGAATGTACTAATATCTGACCTATCTTGGATAATTTTAGAAGCCAGTTAAATGGACTCTTATGGTTTTATTCTTTTTCTTTCAAAACTAGTCACTTAGTCTACCTCGTGTTTATTTTTCTAATAGCATGTAGTGTTTTGCATAGATGTTAGATTTCTGTAATCCAGAATTTTTAGAATAAAGACGTCATTGTTTAACTTGCAGTTATTTGTAATTCATATACGAATGGTTTATCACTCAGGCCAGATCCACCCTCTTTTGGTAATAGTTTGAATAAACAGAGATAAATTGTTCTTTGATTGATAATTAATAGCTCTGCCGATAACCTAGCCTAGGCCACTAAATTGGTGGGAATATCTGGATTTTTAACAGCTGGTCCAGGAACCATCCAGAGGTGAAAGGCATAAACCCTGGTAAGTAAACAAATTAGAGCTACAATTATTCAACTAAGAACACTAAATTGATTTCGCCTCCGATTTTTAATAAGTTAAACAATTAACTACAACTCCAGTTCTAGTTAATCATTTATTCATTATCTGCAGGATATCATTTTGAACAAAAGTACATTTCCCGAATTTGAATTTTATTGCTTTGTATCTATCAGATATAATATCTGATATGCTAAATGAAATTAAATTGAAATAAAATACAGCTGTTAAACAAGTTATCCTCAATAAGTAAGTTAATTCATTATAGATCCACCTAAAGTATGGATCATGGTCATTTACATCAAACTGCTTTGCAAGCTTATGAATAATGCTTTTTATGGGTGCCGTCTAGTTAAGTAGAATAAAATTGAAAACTAAAATTTAACATAGATAAGTTACATATAGTGACACATTTTCTATAATTTATCTCTGAGGCATTCAGTCAATTAAATCCCAAGAGTTTATAAAAAAGAAAATAGATGGGACATTAAAGCAAATGAAAAAAGGTGTTTGATCAAATAGGCTATGACCAGTGCAGTCAAGTGAAAACTGCTGACTATTTCCTTAAAGGTAGCTAAAATAATCCCCAAAAGATGAAATCAAAAGAGGTTGGCTGTCCAAATATTTTTACAATAGAAAGTAAGCAGAATGAAAAACTTCTGCAGAAAAAGGTGCACAAACAAACAAGACAAAAGAATCCTTCAGAGGGTTAAGAAACAAAGAAGTTTGAAGCTTTTGGAGAAGAGATATGGGGCTTGGAGCGCAGCCCCAGTGTGAGCTTCAAAAGCCAGACTAGAGAGACACCAAAAGATCGCTGGACAGAAACTCAGACTTTCACTCTGGGTCCCTGAGCGAGCTGCACTGTTTATAAGTGCTGTAGATTTATTTTTCTGGTCAAAGTTACCTACGTATTTTTGGAAATCCAGGTCCAAGAGTGGAAGAAAAGTGGAATGGCACAAAATCTAGGTTCCTTGAGATCCAGTGTGAAAATTTCCGTAATCTGTTTTGATTTTGATATCAGTGTCCTCAGGTGTTGTACTCCTCTAAGAGACTTTATTTACTTTACTTTTTTACTTTATTTGCATTTTAGCGCACTTCGTTACCCTTAGTTATGTATAGTAGATGTATAGTTCTTACTAGCCCTGCGGTTTATCTTTTGGGGTAATATTTCCCTAAAGATCTTTGGTTCTCTCAAGTCCACTTTACACTGACTGAACATTGTTTCAAATCATTGTCTACTAAGGCTAGTTGGTGACCACTGCATTCTTTCATCCGGTAACACCTTCTGTAGTTTTAGTGGCCTCCAAACTCCCCACATCCCAATCTAATAAAGTACCTATCAGGTTTGATGGAGCAGAAGATTCCCATCACAGAGGGGAAGATTTGAAATAAGTACATGATGCCTTCATGTCAATATAAGCAATAATCTCCAAGGAACAATTTAAAGATCTTATATGAAGAACAAACGGTCCTGAAGACAAGGATGAGGCAGGGCCTCCGACCTAGTGAGATAAAGGTGAAAACATAAAGTAGGCATTGAGAGACAGTTTTTACATTGTTTGTTCTTTTTTGTTAGATTATTCTTCAATATAAGTACTGACGTATATCTGATTCTTGAATTATAGAAACGTATCCTTCATCACAGGAAGAGCGTGATAACGGACTCACCCTACAATACTCTATAATATTGAAATAAATACCATTTCTGCCATCAGAAAAGAAGATTAATGGTACTTTAAGAGAGACCAGCTCATTATTCTTAAACAGTCAATGTTTAGATTCAGTAATTTTAAGCAACCTATTTTTTAGATGGCAATATTAAAAACCATTTCCTTTGTTCAACACACTTCTAAGCACTTGGCAGAAACAATTACAACCTACAGTACCAGCATCCAGATCCAGCAGGGATTAATGAGACACTCAGAAAAATACATGTCTGCTCATTCTGCCTCCCCCCTCTTTGTCAATCTCAGTCAATTGTTGTGTGAATAGCCTTTTGTTTGCAGAAGCACAAGCAACTATTGCCCAAAGAGGGAAGAAAAAAAAAACCTTTTAATGCATAAAAGAATGAAATTTACTGTGCATCACAGAAAAGGTCCCATAACGCCAATTACGAAAGCTGTTGTTTTGTTTTGTTTTGCTTTGCTGAGATACAAACAGGAGCGCCTGAATTCTGGTGGTTTTGTTCTTTTTGAGAAAATACATTTATTATCAATAAATCCAAAAAACAAGACAGCAGGATGCTATGGCACATTTAGAGATGACTGTGAGGAAAACTGGACAGGACATTCAAGACTGTGACATCCTGTTAGAGGTAGAACAGCCCTGATTGGCTGCCAGCAGTCCTTTATGTCGGTATGGCTCACTGTGCTGGAGGACAAGATGAATCATCATCAGCATTCACTAAAAGCACAAATGCGAAATCAAAGCCACATATACAGGAGAAGATAAGATTCCATGACGTAAAATGAATGCCTTAGCATACTAAATGAGTTTTCTGTATTTGAACCTTGTAAGATAACTAATGAATTTTACATTCAGTGATTTAGCATAAAGTCTCTGTCAGAGATCTCTCTTGTTAACTAATGCACTGCTTGACAATGTCCCTGAACACAAAAAATCAGAAATTTCACATGATAAATCATGGATTGTTCAGATCATATACTGTAATCAGCTGAACCGTTTTTTGCATAAAAAGTAGATTTATAAAAAGCTAACATTGCTTATTTTAGTATAAATTGTGTATTTAAAGGATAACAGGAAAATAAAGCTATAATAACATTGTGCACTTTGACAGTTAGGCAATTTTGAGACAAGTATTGCAACCCTGAAAAACTGCACACCCATCCATTTTCTGTCACCGTTTATCCCTGCTGGGGTCACAAGGGTAGCTGGTGCCTATCTCCAGTTGTCTACGGGTGAGAGGAGGGGTACACCCTGGACAGGTCGCCAGTGTATCTCAGGGCAACACAGACACTAAAAGGACAAACAACCATTCACACAAATACTCACAGCTAAGGAGAATTTAGAGAAGTCAATTAACTTAACAGTCATGATTCTGGACTGTGGGAGGAAGCCAGAGTACCCTGAGAGAACCCACTAATGCACAGTGAGACATGCAAAGTCTACGTGCAGAAAGACCCCAGGCCGGCAATCGACCCTGGAACCTTCTTGCTGCAAGGCAGCAGTGCAAACCACTGCAGCACTGAGCAGCCAAGAAAAACAAAAAACAAAATGCACAGTGTCATTAAAATAGTTCCCCATAGAACTTGATCATTCAGTTTAAATGCGTTTTCTGTTTTTTCCCCCGTTCAACTATTTTAAATTACTCTTAAAATCCTACTATTTGACCCAATTTCTTATTAACAAACTTGTAAAACATTATTATTATTCTCAGAACCTGAAAAAAATTCTTCCAAGTTGGACTAGAGTAAAAAAAAAAAATTTTTTTGTAACTGTTTTGCTTTTAATAAGCTCACGCATCATCAATGATAATGATCTTTACAGTACTGTTTACTTTTTTATAAACTGAACTAGCTCTGTGGTTGTACTTTATTCATTAATACAGTTAAAAAATTTGAAATTAGAAAAATCACAAATGAGCTTCAAGCTATTTTTAAACATGGTGCACTCCAGCTCTTTATACAATGAATTCTTCCCTTAGCTAGGATTAGGTGCTTGTAGGAGCTAAAATGACAAGAACTGAGTCTAAAAAAGCACTAGCACATGTTTGCATCACTTAAAACTAAAAATAACTGCAAAATCTTATCATAAGGTTTTTACTTTTATTGTTAGTATTTTTAGGCAATACACATTTATAAATAAGTTAATGTGTTTTGGTTAGGGAAAGGCTGCTTTTTATCTGCATGTGGGCTGAAGGTTGCAGCAGTTGGTAGTACAATTCCTTACAAAATTATCCTAGGTTGGATACCAGCTGTTTGGTCTTTCTTTTAACATGGGTTCTGCATCTTTTCCCTGTGCATGCATAGATTCCCTCCATGTAATACGAGTTCATCCCATAGCAGCAAAACAGAAATGAAATAAATGGTCCTGTGTGTCCCTGTGATGGCTGTCAACCTGTCAAGGCTGTAACCCTCTCCTCACCCAATGATTGCTTGGGATAGGCACCGGTCCCCTTGTCAAATCCTATTAGAAATACTTAAGAAAAACATTTACTCTAAATGGAGGAAAATATTTCTTTTATATTACATCACTATCCTAATGAGCATCCTCATCCAGGCGGCGTAAACATTGTGATGACAGCAAACAGCAACATAATGCGTTGTGTTTGAATAGTGGGAAGGCAGGTGAAATACGGCAATGGCTATTTGAGTTGGCTGCTAAGGCTTCGGATTCTACTCCTGAGTTTTCTCATATAAATGTCACAATCTCTGAAGGCTGTCATCTCAAATCTACCTACAGGTTTTTCTGGAACAGGTGGACACCAGAGTGTCTCTGCTGTCATTCCTAAATAGTGGAAAAAAGGTCTGAAGAGGATACTATCAAATTTATTTTAGCACAGTGACATATACTGAATCCCCAACGGATTCCATCTCTTCTGTTTCTGTCTTGACAATGCCACTCTCCATGGCATATATATTTTTGGGTCAATAAATACATTCTGTGGGTATTGAGTAAATGAACAGCTTCAGGAATCTACTCACCGAGGTGCAGATCTTATAGCCTACTCCAAAGTCAAACCGACACTGCTCATCCATGGAGTAGTTGATACCAGGGAGCTCAGGTAGCTGCGGCCAGTCGTGCTTAAAAGGATCATCCAGCAAACAGTCATAAGTGCTGCCAAGAAATTAGACACAGTCCTGGTTCAGTAGGATAAACAGAACAGCACAACAAAAAAACAGAGATAATAGTGAAAAATGAAGGACGATGTTCTTCATCATTTTGTTGTTACATAAACTGGGTTATTTTTCAATATAGCACAGCTTCGTATTATCCTAGCTTGCTACAGCACTCTGAAACTATTGGAGCTTTTAAAATTTCATTTACAAAGAAGTATATATTCTGAAAATATGTAATGGGAAGTTTATATAAATATAAAGAGGAACATGAGCCATCGCTTTGCAAAATGGAAGAGTTTGACTGCATCCATGATCCTGTAGGCTACTTTGTGAGCTAGAGGCTTTAAATTGTGCAAATGAAGAATTTTTATAAATAAAGAGTAGAAAGAGAGATTGATAGGCGTTTTAGATGAGAGGGAAGAAAGATAAAAATGGGGATTATAGACATAGATATAGATATGAAGGATGACTGGGGAAACAAAGGAGTAGGAATTAATGCTGCAAACTTACAGAAGTAATAGAGTTCCTTATATTATCATTATATAGTTTATCAATTTATATGAATGTCTAAAGCTAACAGAAAGTCCAAAAATATGGATTTTCTGCTCTTAAATGTAGAGTAGTCACACCAAAGTTGGACTCAAAATCCATAATGGCTGCTGTGACCTCATAAATGTTACTACTGCAATGTGATCTTGATATATATCATCGCTCCATCACAGCCTACAGTTGGAAAGCCACTTACGTTGACAGCTAATCTATTCAGGGGGCAAAGCTTTTTGGTTTTCCAAGATTTTACCCATCCCCAAGTCAAATCATGTATGATGTACTGTATCACCAGCTCCAAAACTAGAGGCAAAGAATGTCACCTTTTTGTGCCTTTATTGTGTGAAAGGAGCTTAAGTTTGATCAGAAACAGCTCAGCACTACATTGTGATGGATTGCCTACTGTCACTGTTATCTAATGTTATGTTTTGATGTTCAGAGTTAAAGAGTGAGACAAATAAAACTTGTAAACTGAGCACAATTTAGAAAAAGTTTCATCTCAACAGTCAGAGTATTTGTATTCAGGAGCATATGTAGGGTTGTGGTTCTTATTGCTTGTTTTGAGCAATGTGGGGAGATAATGTTAAAGTTTGGGCACACTTAATATGCTGACACATTTTAAAGGGACAGCAAATTTACATTTAGTTTTCTTTTTCCTCCTCATCTGTCCCTCCAGCTATTTATTTTCTATTCTCTTAAATTGACATTTTCATTGAGGACCGTCTTTAAAGGTATTTTCAAATCTATGCATTTTTAAAGCCACTCATTTAAAATGTTTCATCAACTTAAAATAATACCACAACAATACAACAACAAGGGATGTTTACATGTTATCTTTTGAATCATTTTAGATTGCATGTTATAGTTTTACAAGGTTTACAAGGTAAACTTTTTTAATAAGAAAAAACATTTTTTTATTCATCCAAGATAACTTGTGGACATCTATCAGAAAGAGCAACACAAATATGAAGTAGTACAAAATCCTTTTACGGTTTTTAAATCCTTTTACCGTTCTTGGCACGGTTTCAAACGGCTAGTGTAAATGGGGTAAATGAAATGTCAAACACGGTGGCAGCATGAAAGAGACACGAAACAGCATAGAAATATCAGTTATGATTCATTACACAAACAAACATTCATAGCTGTTGAATAACTGCATCTTGGTAAAATTTTTAAGAAATGTTCCACTAAACAGAGTAAAGGAAACATTTAATGCAGCATTTAGGCTGGTTAAATTTTTTTCAGCTGCCATATTCTTTTCTATTCACAAAAAAAGCCAGATATACTGATGTTTTTTTTTTTACTTAAGTAAATATTTCTTGTGCTGTGGACACTGTAGAATGGTATATCAACTTTTTGAGTCTAAAAGAGACAAAGGAGTTAAGTATTTTTTTAGAATCAACTGACAACCATTTGCCCCAAGCATAAACTCACTGGATGTATCTCTTGAGCTCCTGTCCGCTGCACATGGACCAATGGTATCGATGGAAGGCTGCCTGCACCAGAGGGGCCATCACGCTACCCATGGCGGTCTCATCCCCACAGCGGTTTCCTTGGCCATCATGTTCCATGCCCAGCCTGCAACCAGCAGTGGAGAAGAAGGTCAGAAATACAGGATGAATTTTACAAAATAACTGCTTTTACATCACTGCCTTGAGGTGAGATAGAGGGGATCTGTCATTTAGGATTCAGGAGAGACTGATTGCACTAAGATATATCTGCAAATTTGTTTTTTGTGAAAAATCTCACACCAGGTTTTATGTTGACTTTGTTTCAAACTGCAAAAATATCAAGTAATTTCTTTATATTTTGCTCTAAGTCAGACCTGGTAGTCAGGGGTTTTGACTGATACATTTTTAGACCTCTTTAGGGTCTTTTGACTGCTTCTTTTAACTTTGGCAGCTCTTTTACTTATTTTGAGATAAAAACGTGAGGCAATTAGCAAACTAAACACTATAGATATTCAAGATAGAGAAAGGCCCCTAAACCACTGTAGTCAAACACATTTTTGTTTTTCTCTTTCTGATTTATTGACAAGATAACATCGTTTGGCAGCACAGTGTTAGGTACACATAAAGGGAACATGGAAGAGCTGGCAGCAGAAAATATGACATATGTGAAACATTAAATGGCAAGTGATCAGCACTGACTACTGATTAGCAGAGTGAGGCAAGTAACTTGGAATCAGTCAACAGAGTTAGTAATGCAGTATTAATATTATAAAAGCAACTTTTGACCTTGCTATCAAACTCATTATTTTATCTGTATATAATTTTTAAGCATAAACTTTTAAATTATTCTTTTTATTGTCTTTAATTAATAATTTTGATTAAGTATCTACATGCCCTTTTGAAGCTGCAATATATTTTTCTGTGTTTTCCTGTTATTTTTTTTTTTTATGTATCTACAGCACTTGTTTCTTCCTATTTTGTGTTCAAAAATGCAACCTTTATCCCTTTATGCTTTCACCCTGCTGTATTTTATAAATATGTTGTACATTGAGTTGTTTAATTGCAAATAATTATCTAGATTAGGTTTGTTTGTGGTGGACACAAAAGAAAAGTGGAATATGCAGAAATCTGATGTAAACAGGTGCAGTCAGCTGTCGAAGAGACGTAGAAAAAGGTATCAGTAAAAACTAGATCTGTATAACTAACTATATATGAAATAACTAAGATTAGAAATTAGTAAATTATCAGCTGCTACCTTACAGGAACTCTGACCATGAATCAACTTGGTTAATAACATTACTTAGGGATGTTGATGATTGTTGGTTCAAAAGCTAAGATAAATTAAACTGTTAACCAAATTATATGATGTTGTTTGAAGAACTAACATGAAGCAAGGGTGAAATATTTGATATGAAACTCTCCCTGAGGGGCTCTGTCCACCCAACCTTTTTATAAGTAAACTGACATTTAGATCTATTATTACAACAGTCCGGATTGTATCCTCTCAATCATCACAGTATGCCTCTTGGTCTTTTGGATGACCTTTGAAATCAAAGACTTGGTCTAAATGTATTGCACATGTCCAACAGAACTCCCTTTGAACTTGCAACACACTTGTGAAGATTGGATGCTCACAAATGTCCTCACAAACAAGGTGCAGTGAGAAAGGTTGTTTCAGTTACTAAGAACCTACTCCAGAAAACAATAAGCAAATGGTTGTGTCTTTACCAGGGGTGGAAGTAGATTTACATTCTTGCAAGTTATTAGCCTACATTTGTTTATTGCACCTTGCATGCATTTTCCCCATTTTTCACCTAAATAGAATACATTGATTCACTACTATTTAGGCATAAAGTAATTTAGACAAGCCAATTAACCTGACAGTCATGTTTTTGGACTGTGGGAGCTATTCATGCATTTGTGGGTTCTGGAGAGAACCCACGAATGTTCAAGGAGAACATGCAAACTCCGCTCAGAAAACCCCAGGCCGGAAATAGAACCCGGAACCCTCTTGCTGCAGGGCAGCAGTGCTACCCACTGTGCCACTGAGCTGCCCACTGCATCAGAGAGCAGCCCTCTTAATAATTATTAGCCAATTTTGTTTGTTGGTTTGTTAGTTTTTGTTTTTTTCTATGTTTGTTCAATATTACATTTACATTTGTATCTTACATATTGAACAACAATTGAAACCAGGCAGAAGCCAGAACTCTATAGAAAATTCTGAAGAAAAAATCATAAAATACTGATGTATTAAAGAAGTGTTGTTGTTCTTTTTCCAATACGTTCCTCAGGACTCTATATCCTGCATGCATTTGATGTCTCTCTGCTCCAGCATACCTGTATCAAACAGGCATCGAATGTCTGCACTCCCTCCTCAGTAGCCACCACAGGGCTTTAGGGGTCTGCTAACCACCCATTTATTTAGGTCAGGTGTGTGGAGGCAGGGAAATACCTAATACATAAGGGCAGTTGCTCCTCAGGACTGAGTTTGAAAACCACTGTGTTACAGCCTACAGTGTATTCTAATACAGTATCATAAGCAAGTGTGGATGGTATGGATCCATACTAATGATGCATACTGTATTACTTACTGTTTAACAGTAAGCTGTTATATCGATGCTACCTTCAAAATTGAATCAAACAGTATGTGTTGCCAACACTGGAACACATACTGTTCCACAATCAGGCCCTTTGAATATAAATGCAACACTTTTCTTGACCATAAAATGGTTACCAGCTGGCCAGAATCAGATTCATTACTTAATGTTACCCAAGCACAGTGGTGCTGTTTCCTGCGTGCTGTTCATGCAACAATTTCAATTATGTCTAGGACTGTAAAGTGCTACAGAATGACAAACAAGTTATGAAGCAAGACCAACAACCCACTGTGTTTTATTGCTGGTAGCATCACACGACATCATTGCATGACACGAACAGCATCAGTGTTATAAAACTAAAACAGTAACCTAAAACAGGGCTGTAAATAAAGTAGAACAGCAATAAAAAAAAAAGTGAACTTAACAGATAATTAGCTTGAGCATTTTAAAACATTATTACAAGCAGAACCATATACTGTATGGTAAGAGAGGACAGAGTAGCAACCTCCCTGTCCAGAAAGAGTTCTGCAGTTTGGGGTATGTAAGATAAAAGCTGCTGGTTAACTTGCAATGTGACATTTTTAGAGCAACTTTTTCTTGGCTTAAATGATGATAAACCAGTGCGAGCCCTGCCCTTATTTGATGACTGTTTTTTAGTAATGAATGCATTACTGTTTGTCTTACATAATTTATTAATATAGTAATTTTATTTGCGATAAACTGGACTTATAGTGTCAAAAACAGCTTTTAGATGTTAAAATCCATTAATTAATTGTTAACTAGTTGTTATTAAGTATTCTGTATAATTTACGAGTACAGCCATGGGGTTTAATTGAAGATAAAGACAAAAAACCTTTGTGGAGGCACAAAAACCTTGAGTCAAGAGCGTCATATCAGCCCGTAAAGCAGCACTTAAAAATCTGTTCAACAAATACTAACGATCAGCATCGTTAATTATCCATGGTCAAATATGTTTTCTAGATTTGCTGCAATGTAGCTTAAACTGTAAAAGCAATTGTAAACTGGTTTTAATGTACTGTAATATGGTTCTTAGTTATTTCCAAATTAGCGTTCCTCTGGGAATTTCCTCACAGATAACACTGAATGTTGCCTACAGATAAAAAGATCCCAACTACTCCACTATACGCCCACCATAGAGTAAAAATAAATATCCTTGATTTTTTTTTTTTTATCTGAAAATTCAACTTCAGAACAGCTGGTGCAGTTCAATCAGTTTGATACTCCAAGTGGCTCACTGAGTTTTTTCAGAGTTTGCAAGGATCAGAAGACACATAATAAAGAATATGTGATTCCTAGAAAATAACGGGTTCTTTAAAAACACCTTTTTGGTTATACAAATCTGCACTTACCGATGTGACCTGGAGGAACATACAGTGTAGTTTTTAGATGAGCTAGGTCCAATGATAATTTAGTGTTCTCATTGTTGTCTTAATTAATGTAATTTTAGATAGTTACCCAGAAAGGAGAGCTGTGTCTTAGTGATTAAAGACTGTATTAAATGAACAACAACCCCAGGGAAAAATATAAATATTTCCCTCTTCAGAAGCATAACATTTTAAATAAGTCGAGTAAAATAAACTTCACCAATGAGGAACCTGGTTAATCACCCTAAGGTGAGACTGTTTCTTAGTTCTGTCTTCTTAGTCACGGAGGGCATCAGTGTAGGAGTCAAATTACAAGGAAGAGTTTCCTGAAACCAGGGGAAGTTGTTTACTGCCACTAAGAGAAAACTGTGCAAAACATGATTACATGTCACTGGGTGCATAACCGAAGCCTTTTAAGGACTCTGAAATAAAGTCCACATATTCATTTAATTAATTCGGGTTGTCTGTGTAATACTTGGAGCTTGCACTCCTTAACCTAATAGGAAGAAGAAAAAAGTATCAAATCCAAAGATCTCTTCGGCAAGATGTCATCTGATTAAAAATGTTTAACAGTCTCAAAACATCAAATTCTTTGAGTTTTTGTTTTACGTTACAACCTTTAATTTGCATTGTATACCTTGTTTTACTCTATTTCATTCCTTTCCTTTGAGCTTGGATACTTGAATACTTAATTGCAGTAGTCAGTAATTTCCTTAGGATTTATTTATTTTTTCCCTTGGGGCTCCATCGCTGTAAATAGCTATCCTATTTTTAGCTGAATTTACTCAGAATATTGTGCAATTTGCAAGGATAAATTGTCAAAGCTTTCAATAATGTATCAAATCTGCTTGAAAATAAAGAAAAATATGCATAATTTTGTCATGATGAATTAAGTTTTGGCTTCCAAATTAGTCAAAACCTTATTACAATTGCACTGTGTCATAGTCTACTTCAGGGTCCAAACCAAAACACATTCTCAAATAGTGTGTACCTGCCCTTCAAGTAAAGTTTTTCCCTTACTAGTTCATTGAACCTCTTCAGGCACCTTGTTGGAAGTTGGGCCAGAAATTTGGTATCACTGTGTAGTTATCTATAAAATCATTATAAAACATACAATCTAAGAACACATTTTGCGAAATTTTTGCTTTAGAATGTAGAAGATCAATACATTTTTTTTAGGTGGCTATTACAAAAACCTTTTTTAAATGATACCATAACAGATTTTTTTAATAATAACATAAATATGTGAAACATTAAGAAATAAAAGATCACAAAACAAGTGTTTAGTGTTAATCCTAGTCAATATTTCACAGCTGTCAACTTCTATTTCTGAGACACTTTAATTTGAGGAATAACTGTCCCATAAAAGCCCAAATGTTGGTCTTTTACTTATTTCACTTCATTTTTTGATCCCTCTCTAGTATAAGATGAATACCAAGAGGAATACCAAGACAGTTTAAAAAATTTTCAAAGCATGAGCTATCAGAATAACTGCAACCTGTGCTTTAAAAACAAAGAAAAAAATATTTTTCTCTTAGAATTAAATAAAGAAAGCATTACAGCTAACAGTTAGACAATTAAACTTGATATATAAAATAAGAACTGTAGTTAATACATGCTGCATCTTTGCAGGTCCAAGACAACAAGAAGTGCTGTAAAAAGTGCTTGCTGAAAAGACGCAGAAGAACAACACAGCAAATCACTTATTGTCCAGGTTGCTGGTGACTTTAAGACTACGCTCTCCATGGTGCTGAAAACCTGAAAGGGTCAGTCATTTAACATACTATATATATATATTTATTTATTTTTTTTTTTCTTATTTGTGTAAAATGTGCATAAATTGTTTGTAGTATATGTCAAGAAAAACAATTTTTTGATTTGGGTAAAATAATTTCTTTTTTTCCTTTTGGAGGGGGGTTCTGTAGTTCTGAGTGAGATTGATCTGCCCCCTTTTTTTTTTTTTTAGAAGTGTAATAAAACCAGACAAACCAGCTCTTTCCATAAGTAATTTGTGTTTCGTATTTTTAATATTTGGAATGCCAAAGCCTGCAAACGTATTGTTACGCAGAATGATTTAAGTTGCGCTTTGAAGTCAGATCAACACCCTGAGGGGATTATTAAGATAAAAGCAAATTTTTGAAAAGTGACTTCTGTCATTTGTCATTCATTTTCCCGAGACTGAATGGTGAAAAAAGATGGTTGACGGATTGGGTTAGATAAATAATAATATCTTGTTTTAAAACTATTATCTCCAGCGCTACTTTAAAAGAAGCTGGTTACATTTCTTTATATTTCCATCTAAAGGTTAGTAATAAATTATGAGGAACTTGAGTTGAAAAAGCAGCTTGAAGACCAATATAAGGCATCTATTAAACAAATGTTCGAATTAGATGTTTAGGATCCAAAACATGACAGTTGCTACAGTACATGTGTATTGATTAGGATAAATATGAACGTCTGTTTCTTAGTTTTCTTTGCACAACGCTCCTCATAAAGAAGCATTCATTTTTGAAAAATAAATTATTTTCATAATGTGTAATAGTTACTGAAAACAAAGAAAGAAAATGCAGTTCCAAAACAATAATTATTTATTGCATCATTACATTAGCAGGAAGTTATATACTTCCCAAAAAATGTAAACTCGTATGTTACTTTTGAAGTAAACTTACATTTGCTGGAAATGTATTACACTTGTGGGATTATTACATTAAAAGCTGCTACGTTTGCAGGAATTTTTACATTTGTGGGCGTTACAATGTTACTGATACAGAATTCTGATACTCAAATGTTTGTCATACCTGTGAAAAAGTATAAAAAAATATGTAGCTAACAAAACAGAACTAGATCATGAACCAGGCGATTCCCTAAAACCTCTTTCCTGAAAGTTTTTAAACATTTCACATCGGCTTAAAACAGGACTAAGAAAACCTTTTTACATTTTGTTCACTGAGTAAAGGCCCAAGCATATAAGGATACAGCGCCATTCAGATTCTGAATCAAATCATTGCTGAAATGTTAAGGGTCTCCTCAAGCAATTTACTGCTTTTTCCTGTTTCTAGAGAGTTCATGGACATGTGAGGGAGAGAACAAAGAGTAAGGGCAGGATGATTTATATACTTTACTAACAGTGTAACAGTAGTATTTGTGTTGAAATCCCTCCTGTGAAAATGTTCAAGATCATCTCATCGAGTCAACTAGATGACATACTCATCTAACCCTGTGGAAAGGTTTTCTTTTTATTTAATTGCTAGAGCTGAGTTTCTACTGGTGACGTCAAATAAATGTCAGAGAATTCTCCCTTCGAGTCACTCATCCCAGGCATGCTGAGCAGCTTCAGTCCCAGGCTTACTTTAGTAAATTACTGATGCCAGAGGATAGAGCTCTGTGTTTACAAGCCCAGTGAGAATCAGCTGCAAAGCAAAAAGCACACAGATTTACGTATCTGGTGACACACACTGGGGCATTTTAGCAGGATGATTCAGCTCAGTTACTCTTTCAAACATCTGCTGAAATAGTGTTCCTCCCTTCATAGCACCCTGTTCATGGAAAGACTGATTGCACCCCAGATGGTGATGCAACCTGCTGAACTGTAACTCTTGGAACATGCATGTCCCTCAAAGCCATCCGAGACAGCCCCACATGGACACTCTAAACCAAATCATAATCCTTTATCTTCTAAATCCTGACATCCACATGCTCATCTCTGTCCAGAAGGACTCTCTCTGTCTCCTTTTGGACCAGCCAGACAGACAGCAGAGAAAACTAATTCAGTTATAACTTTCTCCCTTTTCTTTTACTGCTTCTTTCTCTATATAATAACTGCTTTCAGATTACCTCTACACTCAATCCCTAAATACAACCTGGGAATTTAACAGAGTAAAACCGTTTATCCGAAGAGAGTCCTTGATTATAGCCATATTTTGCATCTCAAAAAGGTGCAAATCTGTTTTGCAAACATAAATTATTTATGACTGAAAAAAAGCATAACAATTGTTTTGCACTGACCCACTTTAGGAGAATTATTCAGCTGGTGTTAAACCATTTAACCATTTTGTTGTAATTCAGTTCTCAGCTTCTCACTATTAACTGTCTATAAGGTTGTTTCAGTTTGGGGCTGAACAGCAAAAGTGCCCAGATCTGGCATAACATTATGGCCGCCTGCATTATAGTGTGTTGGTCTAAAAGCTAGATTCCTATAAACCCATTAAGGTGCCCTACTTCCGAAGGGCAACTACTACTACTACTACTATGTTAGCAGCATGTTGTAAGGAGAGGCATCTATTTATCAGATTTGTTTGCTCAGCACATCCAACAGATTCTCTATTGAACTGAGATTTGCAGAATTTAAAATCCAAGTAAAAACCTCCAAAAAACTGGAGCTCCTGAAACAAATTACCCAACACATCCCTGATACAGCTAGTGGCCTTACTGCTGGATGTGTACTCTCCTCAACAACATCATTCCAACTGTGTCTATCAGGTGTGTTTCCTTCATTATGTTTTTGATTCTTTGTTGAAGAGTAATAAACATATTTTGAGTGTCATTATGATGACATTCACAGCAGCTGCATATACACCAAAAGGTGTTGGGCTCCAGATGTTGTGACTTTTGGATTTTTATGCATTAGTGGTAGCCGCGCTGACCTTCTCCACATCAACTTCCACCTCAGAAAGCCCTTCATCTCGTTCAGCTGAATCATAATCATCACAATCGTATTGTTAAATGTTTTAACTTGGATAAGCTTTTACTGGGAGTCACAAACTCAAAACCAAACTGGCCTTAAGTGCCTGGATGTGTTCTTTGTTTTTTCAAACAGTCAGAGAGAGGCTTATAATTGTAGCTAAAATGGTTGAATGGTAAACTGGCTGTGGAAAATCTACCACTTGTGTGATCGTGATTTGGTATTTTATCTTATGACTGTATCAAAACTGACCCTGACAACACAAAGTTCAAAAGTTTTACCAGTGTATTTTATATTTTAGTGAATCTGGCTTGGTTTTAAATAGTAGCTGGTGACAAAATCAAATGGCCTTGATGCAATAACCAGATTTAATGAAGAGAGGATGGATGATGGTAAACAGTCTCTGATTAGTTTTGTTTTCTCTCAGAAAGCTCATGACCCATCTGTTCAAAGGTCCCCCATGTCATCTGACAGCCAGACATCAGGGACATCAGCCCCCCAGAGAGTGGGTGCCTTAAAAATAGGAACAATAATTCTCCCTGCAGTACAACACAGTGTTACTTCAATGTTGGGAGTAAATGTGTGTAGGAAATTCAAACCTGAAAAGGCGGAAATGTCTAGATAAACTTACACGTGTCCGGTCTCATGAGCCACAACAAAAGCAGAAGAGAAACCATCTTCATGGTTCAGGGTGCAGCTCCGAACCGGGTGGCACATTCCAGTGACCGGGGCGTAACCTAAGGAAAGGTTTAAGGAAAATTAGAAGCATCTAGATCAGATGACAGGTTTTAATGCCAACATGTTTCCCTCTGAGTAGATCTTCAAACATATATTAGGATGTTTTTAAGCAATAAATCATTAGTAATCAATATTTGGATTTCCAAGTGAACTTTTTAATTATATAACAATGCATGATAGAGTTAGGACCCTTCAGACCTTAGACAAAAGGCTTTTTGAGGTCCAAAAGTTCCAATATCAATTCAAGTATAAGAGCTTTAGTAGGTATAGTGAGTAGGTACAGCAGGCACCGTTTGTAAAATACAGAAAACTTTAATACATATTTAGATGCGAAATAAACATGATCACACACACACACACACACACACAAAAAAAACAAAAACAAAAAACAATAAATATACAACCAAATTAAACTGTTCACTCACTGTCACAAGCCAAAGAATAGAAGTGGCTTTTTTGAATTTTTACCATGACAGGCTTTAGAGCATGCCCTATGGATGCTCAATAAAAAAAAACACACACACACACACAAAATTATAAAGGCTCAAATAAAAGCAGAGAGTTCGATAAACAACTATACAAATTCAAAGATGGACTCGGAACCAGACTAAAGGTGGTGAAGCAAAGCAAAAATGAATGTCAGGTGCCATGCTCTTGCTTCCTTGTTGAAAGGTCAAGCAGGAGGAACCAAAACTATTATCTCACTTTGGAATAGGATCAACTGGACAATAAAGGTAAGGTGAGGTGGCATTGTGGAGATTGGAGAGATCAGAGCAAGAAGCTGCGTTGGAGGAAGAACCCAAGCTGGTGAGAAACAGCTGAAGTTGCACCGTTCTGGAGCTAATAGAGGACAGCTGGAGAGCAGAGCAAGCAGCCGGACAGAGGGAGCACTAGTAACGGATCCTGAGCTACAACAGGGGGAACAACCACAAACCTCTAAAGAGCATTCTTTACTTCATCATATGTCAAAATTTTCTAACTCTCAATTTTGATTAAAAATGTTTTGTCTCCACTGGCCTCTCCAGGTCTCATTGGTTGATATGATGTGAATTGACATAAAAGTTCAGATTTATCAACTGAAGGGGAATTCAGTAGCGGTAAGGCACCATATGGGAGTGCCTGGCCACCTAAAGGTTTGCCCTTCGGCTGAGTGACATCAGACCCCAGCAGTCGCTGCATGGCTGCAACTCTGTGTCGGTCTTTCCCCGACTCCAGTTCCGTCATCTCGGAGCAAGGATGCAAATATTTGAACACTTCCACTTGTGGCAGGGGCTCCCTCCGAGCTGGAGAGAGCAGGCAAGTCTTTTCAGGAATTGGGAAAAAAAAGGCAGAACCCTTTGCTTGGAAAAAAAAAAAAACTTTGAGCAAAACTGATTTTAAATGTTGGGTTGTTAATCTGGACAGAAGCCACCATGCTACCATTTTGTCCTCATCTAATTAAGTTTACAGGTGGCTAAATATTTTTCTTTTCCAGCACCCAAGAAGGTAGGTTATTAACGGGCTTAAAATTTGAAATAACTGTAGGGTCAGATTAATATTTTTATTTTCAACAAGAGCAGCAAAAAAAAAAAAAATCTTAAAGCTTTATATAAACATCAAACAGAAGAGGAGTATGTCCATCAACCTTATCTGAAAACTCCCTAAAAATGTTTTGTTGCTCTTTTTCCTTCTCCATCTTTGCTTTGTTCCTTCCCTTGTCTGTTTGATCAATGGTTTTCATGACACTGTTCTGAATTATTGTGATATACCCTTTACATCATATCTTAAAGGAAAACCGAGATTCAAAATTTTCTGTCAAGTTTAGAGTTTTTAAGACTGAGTAAACTCTAAAGTTCTCCAGACCCAGCTGTAGGGAAAAGGGCCATAGCTCTGCTACTACAGTTTTAAGAAGAGGTGGTGGGATTTATTTCTGTTTATGGAAGAAAGTACATATTTGTTTTAGCAAGATGGAAAAATAAATCAATCATCTACATTATTTTTCATTGCAGTGTCCTTGTGGAGTTGAACTGAAAATATCCAGTACCACTGTGTATTAAAACTTTAGTTTTTTCTTTGCCAACATATTTTTTTTTTCTAAAACCCTTAAAGGACTTGGATATCTTTTCATCATAAGATCTAGCTTTCTGAAAACCAGGGCAGGAATAACTTTCATAAAGTAGGTCAGATCTGAGTGTATTTCTCTAATTCTGGGTACAATGTCTGTTTACATGTCACTTTTGCATCCAGACCCTGATGGTACGTGAGATGATCAGTGCACAATGAGACAGGTATGCACAGCAGGACACTTGTCACAGAGGAGAGAAACTTGACAGCTTTAGATTTACAACTTATATCTAGCATTACTTTCCTTAAATGTCATACTAAATGGGAGCTCATGCATTATTGGATAAGGTAAAAAAAAATACACTATCAACAAGAGCCTGCAGCAAACTGAAACAAGAAAAACTGATGTCTGGTGTCTAGCTAGGTTCTCCTCCTCCCTAACTGGGAATCAGTGTTTATTGTGTAAAATAAAAAAAAAATAAAAAAATCTCAGTTCACAATAAAAAGTAATGTGAACTGAGATTTTGCTGTATTTACTTTAACAGCATTCCTTTTCTGTTATTTTCAAATATAGAAAACAACAACAAACCTTATCAGAACAGGAAGTCAAGCTGTAATGCAGGGGTTAATGCAGGATTGAGAAAGAAAGGAGTGGTTATTGTTTAATTTCTAAACACACAGTTTTACAATACTGCAGAATAAGAGCATAGTTTTATACACACACACAAAAACATGTCTCAGTATCTTTGCAGGTTCTTTTCCATTGACTTCCATTACCTGTGACCCTAACCCTAACTATTACAAGTTCATCATGTTTTTGCAGCTTTTATCATTTATTGTCAGTTTTCACCTATTGGCCACCATAGAAAACCTAATCGATGTTACCTGTGTTTATCTGTTTCTCTTACCCAAAAGATTAAGAAGTCATCCCAAAAAAAATGACAATAGTCCAAATGTCATGATCTTGGCACTGATGACTGGCTTTGTTGCTGACTCCATTCACCTGTCTAGGTCTGCCCCACTTCTAATCACTCATCATCCGATCCACCTGCTCCTGCCTCTATTTAATGGGCTTGCATCCAGTTATCAAGGCCAGATTATTCTCGTTCTCACTTTGACCCACCGGCTGGATCCTTCCTCATTCTCAGGGCACAGGCTTAACTGTTAAACCAGGTTAGTTCATATCATCTGTTGGATTTACGTGGTAACTAACCTGTGTTTCCTTTTAAAAAATTTCCTGTTATAGACGCCCCAGCCGCTGCTACTCAGATCATATGTGTTTTTAATAAATGCTTTTAAATGATACCACTGTCTGTCTTGCCACAAATAATGGGTCTACTGGAAGATTTTTGACACCTTACTCTCTTAGGGTGAATGCATTGCTCCAAAAAACGGGGCTTCTACATATAATCAACTGCATGTTATTGTATGTCATAGCAATGAATTTTAACCTTTTTATCTTGAACAGAGAGTGTAAATTAAAATCAACTGTAATGCAGTGGCTGCTGCTGTTCTCTGAAACAGGGGAAGCTCAGTGGTGTTAATTAAATCCAAATGTAACGTATTGCATTAACAAATGCTGAAAGACATAAAACATATCACTGCAGAGGGGGGAACTAACTGTTGTGAAGGGCTCTGAGATAATTAACTCCAGAAACCACAGCAAGAATTCAGCCCAAGATGACTGTTCTGACCGAATGATCACTATTCCCTCTCGACCTCATTGGGAATCCTGGGAAGCTCGAACGCTCGGATGCGCTGCAGGACCTCTAGACGCTGCCTGAGGCCACCCCCCATAGACTTTGCATGTAGCGCAGAATCTTTTATGCACCTTAAGAGGTTTAGCCTCACTGTAAGTGAGGTATTTTGGCACGTAATACAATCAGGACTCTACCTTCTCGTTGCGTACCTCAATAGGCCGAGGCTCAAACCTCAACAGGGATTTCTCATAGAGGCTGACAGACATTCCTGCTGCTCCAGAGTGGAGGGGAGATCCCATCCAAGAGTGGAATAAAAGTGTGATTAATGTGCAACATACTCATGAAATCAGACGCATTTTAGCATATGTTTAACCCCATTTTTAAACCCGTACTTTACAAACAACTTTAGAAAATTTAAGGGAGGTTTATCCTCCCTGATATTCAAATAGAAATCGCCACTGCTGTGATTCTATGTTAATGAAACAGAATGGATCTAAACAGAACTGAATTTCATAAGCCTGCCATAACCCTGAAATTTGTTATTAAGGCTATCGAGAGCACAACACTATTTGCATGAGTCAACATTCCCCAACAAAGGTTCTGCCTGTGGAATGGAGGAGTAAACTGGTCATTAATTTTGAAGACAAGGATAGAGTGCTGAGCTGAGAGAATCCACAGATGAATAAAACTGAAACTCCAACTCCAGCATTAAAAATCGGGATCAAGCATGCAAGTTAATGAGTAGAACAAAAAGAACATTGCCCATACTTCTAAAGAGAATAATTAAAATCGATAAAATCCAATCGCCTACTAATAATTCTGAAAGATGGGGGTAAATGATGCTTAAAACTTGAACTTTAAGAGGTAGGAAACCATCTAAAGCCAGTGGAAGCAATCATAAAACCAAACTCAGAATGAATGCTGCAAAACACAGTAACCTTCTCATCTTATGCAATCCATCTGCTGTTAAAAAAAGGTGATAAACACATAAAACTTGGGTTGCTGCATGTTTTACCATAAATGATGAAATACTCCATTCACACAAAATATTTCCTAAATTAGTTAATAAGCAGCAAATTAAAACTTTGCCTGATATTATTCTGGAGTACATTTTGTCTAAAATAATCTAATTTTAATTTATTCAATTGAAATAATCCCACAACTATAAAACTCAATCAATATTGTTAATAATACACTAAACACATTAGGATTTTATGCATGAAAAACAAAAACATAAACTAAATATGGGACTAAAG